AGAGTGTTGGCAAGAAAAATCAAAATAAGAGAGTGTCTGGTAAGAGATTTTTCAGATAAAAAGAGTGTAATAACACAACAAATAATAGAGATATAGTAAAGAAAATTTGGTAATTTGTTTAAAGAGTGTTATTGAGGTTGTCTCTCAAAATTCAGATGAAAAGATCATGTGGTTGCTGAGTAATAATGTGAGAAGTGTTTCTGACAGGTGTGAGGCTGGCACCATGTATTTCCACTTATATCTCAACAACCGGCAAGGCAATTCACATAAAAATTGGAGAGGTTGTTAGGTAGAGGAATAGCTTTCAAATGAATATGGTGTCATCCATTTTGAACAAGAATTGACTGAGTTGTGAAAAGAGTGTGTGTGAGAATGTCAGAATGCCAAAATTGATCAACAGAATCTATAGAGCAAATAGTGAGTAAAACATAAGATTCAAAGGTTGATATTTTTTAACAAAAATGGGCCCACCCTAACCAGCTCAGAGAGACAATTTGAATGGTGGTACTCTTATGTCTGTACAATGGATGGTTGTGGAGTTATCAGTAAAAATATAAAAGGTAACGGAAAAACAATCTATAGGCCAAATAGTGACTAAAACATAACATTCAAAACTTGATATTTTTAAACAAAAATAGGCTCACTCTAACCGGCCCAGAGGGACGATTCAAATGGTGGTACTCTCATGTCTGTACGATGGATGGTTGTGGAGTTATTGGCAAAAATGTAGATGTAACGGAAATTCAAATTGGGTTAGCATCCTTTTTCATGCTAACCCAATTTGTAATTTCTGTTACATGGCCTTTTTCTCCACAACCAGTGGGCGGTTTCAATTAAGATTACCACCAAAAGAATCCTCTCCATAAGGTCTTTTTGCTATTCAAAAATTGTGGTTTAATTTTGTCTATTGAGATTGCAGGAGGTGCATGATGTTGTTGTGAATTTGGTGATATTTCTGTTGCGGAATTTTGTTGGGTTGGAAAAATAATTATCTGACACCAATCTCAGACAAGAGTTTCTTTTTGTTGCCAAGATTTCATACTCCAAACCAGTTGTCATGCAAGGGATTTTTTGCTTAGTGGTAGTGATTTTTACCAACAGGCAAAACTGATCAAAACTGATAGCAGTCTAAAGCTGATGATGGTCAGGACAGTCAAAACTGAATATGGCAGCCAAAATTGATGGTCAAAATTGACAATGGTCAAAATTGATGATGGTCAAAATTGACGGTAAAAATTGATGGTAAAAATTGATGACGCCAAAATTGACGGCCAAAATTGATGACACCAAAATTGACAGCCAAAATTGATGGTCAAAATTGACAATGGTCAAAATTGATGATGGTCAAAATTGACGGTAAAAATTGATGGTAAAAATTGATGGTAAAAATTGATGACGGTCAAAATTGATGGTAAAAATTGATGACGCCAAAATTGACGGCCAAAATTGATGACACCAAAATTGACAGCCAAAATTGATGGTCAAAATTGACAATGGTCAAAATTGATGATGGTCAAAATTGACGGTAAAAATTGATGGTAAAAATTGATGACGCCAAAATTGACGGCCAAAATTGATGACACCAAAATTGACAGCCAAAATTGATGGTCAAAATTGACAATGGTCAAAATTGATGATGGTCAAAATTGATGGTAAAAATTGATGGTAAAAATTGACGGTAAAAATTGATGACAGTCAAAATTGACAGCCAAAATTGACGACGGCCAAAATTGATGATGCCAAAATTGACGGCCAAAATTGACAACGGTCAAAATTGATGATGGTCAAAATTGACAGCCAAAATTTGATGACACCAAAATTGATGGCCAAAATTGATGGTCAAAATTGACAACAGTCAAAATTGACGACACCAAAATTGATGACACCAAAATTGATAATGGTCAAAATTGATGATGGTCAAAATTGATGCCAGCCAAAATTGGTCACAGTGGTCAAAATTGACACGGCCAAAATTGACTGTAAAAATTGATGATAGTAAAAATTGACACAGCCAAAATTGGTCACAATGATCAAAACTGATGGCAAACATTCACAGTCACTTTCCCTGCTGTATCAAGGAAATTAAGAAAGATAAACAAGCACAAAATCTTGAAATTAGAATGAATTTTCATCTCTGCATTAGCTATTGGTTTTTGAATTTCACTGTTGGTGCTGCACTACCAGAATTAATATGGCTGAAGTAGCTGCTCTTCATGATTCTCTTGTGCCTGTCTCTTCTGTTCCAGCTGTGCATGTTGATGTATCTGTTCAAATTCTCTATCAACAACCCACATAAGTAACTCAGCTCTTGAGAGAGTCTGTCTTATGATCACCAGCTCTTGATCTTCTTCTTCAGTCATGGGCATTCCATCCTCTGAGTTCTCATCAGAGTCAATGTTATAGATGTCTGGGATTGACTGGATGCCAGCCACTTCTGGAGACACTTCTAGTATCTTTTCTCTTCTTGCCTTCTGCTGTTGGTCCATTATTGCCTGCACAAAAGGCCATTTGAAGTGGAAGGGAGTGGTTGAACCAGAAAGTTGGTGCTTGAAGTGACATCTGTTCTCCTGGAAATAATGAAGATACTCTGTCTTATATCCATTCTGCTTCCATTTCCTGAAGCTGGCTTCAAAGAACCAGTACAGTATTTCCTTTTGATGTCTCAGATACTGCTTGATTGTGGCTGAGTGCTTGTCTTCAGTAAGTGGCCAGACTGAGGCCATCACAACAAAATAGATGGGGAAACAATACAGTGAGTAACATTCTCTGTTTTTCAGCAGGTCATTGCCTGGTATTCAGGGCAATCCATTCTTGTTCTGTTCTTGAATGATTATGATGCACTCTGTGAGCCTCCATCAGCATCAGTATTGCAACAAGCACATCACTAAACAGAGCCTCTTATCTGGACAAATGTGATGGATGCAGTTTGATAGCACTGGAAAGATTATGGGTATTGTTGTCTTTCTGCAGACAGGACACTCATACATGTGGCCTAGCTCTGTGCTCCAGTCAGCCATAATCAAGAAAATTGCTGTAGAATAGGACTCTTGAGCCCATATCTTTGCCATACTTATTCTGCAGGGTGTGTCTCTTTTCTGCTGGAACATGTTCAAACCAGCATTTCATTTCTCAAATGCAGTTTCCCCTCAGCCAGAACTTGCAGTGAACTATCTTCTTTTTTTTAATTTTACTTGGGGTGTCACCTCCAGATGCTTGTGTTGACAGGCTGTGCTGGAACTTGCAGTGATTACTGAGCTGGCATTTTTCATGAATCCAGTATCTGCAGCTCATGCTGCTCAGCTGTGCTGCCTGGACAGACAGGCACTTAGTGAGACAATAAAAATGTGATAGAAGGTGGATCAGTAGTGATTGGCAAGATATTATAGAGCAGGCCTCAGATGACTTTTTGATGTGTAGAATTGAGAACAGACTGAGGAGCAAAAACAATAACAAGTCACCAATCACAGTAAATAGCATTCACCATGAGAGTCCAATGTAGTTATGGGGTCAGAGAGATCCTGTAATGTTTATATTCACTTCACATCAACACTTTGCTTCAGGCTTTGCTTCTCACCCATAATATTTCTGATTCTGATAATCTTCTCAACCACAATTGCATTGACTTTGAAACCTCTTGGTTGTCCCTTCCAGTATTCAATAGCTGCATTGTAAGTTCAGCATCACCTACTTAAGCATTGTAAGACACCAAGATCAGGGCTGACTGAACATCTGACAGTGCTGAACCACTGTCAAGAACTATCATGAGAGATTAAGCAGCTGTCCAGCATCAAGAATCATGTGTCACAAAGTCAAGATTCTGCTTCATTTTGAAAAGATAGTGAAATTCAAAAAGATTTGCTGTGCCACTGTCTGATTTCTGCATGACATCAGATCAAGAAATACTGACATAATATTCCTTCCAGTACAATGTGATAACAATAAATGAGACTCATGTCAAAGCCATGCTTGGCTTGACAGCAGAGAAGCTACTTGATCTGAAAAAGATCATGCAAGAGCTTTATGACAAGGAGATCCAGGGCCTTCTCCATCAAGCAGTAGCTAAGAGAGTGCTGAAGAAGAGCCAGATTGCTGTAGTGAAGTGTGCCATTTCTCAAGAAAGCTTTGGCAACAAGATCCTGCAGGCCTGGAAGAGCAAGTCTAACTGTGAGAATGTCTGTAAAGTACTTGTGTAGCTTATTGTGCAGATCCAGTACCAGAAAACAAGATGACAGCAATATGGCATCCAGCAAGATTCATCTTCTGAGCCTGTGAGCTCTCAGATTTCCTTATCAATACCTGTTTGGCAGTCATTATTGGCTACAGCTGCCTCCAGACTAACATCTTTTCTCTCTGTACTTGAGTTTCTTGAGACCTGTCCCACTACATCAAGCACTCTGTGATATGTGCTGGGTTTGGCCAAGTCTCTGACACCAGTGACCAAAGAACTCTACTGAGCCATTATCTTCACCAGAAACATGATCTCTGGCTGTGTGTTGATCTGCCAGGTTAACAAATTGCTGTCACATTGCATGTTAGATAGGCAGGAAACACTCTCTGAGGAGAATTGGACAGAGTGGCAGAGTATTCTGACTACTGACTGTAAATTTCATTGCAACTCTCAGATCATCAAGAGCCTGGATGAGCAGATCACCATCATCAACAAGTGACTGTAGCAATCAGTGTGTGTGATGCAGCTGGAGGAGATTCTGAGCAAAGGAACAGATGGATCTCTGACCCTCAATTTTGTGATCACTGCCTGGAATGTGGAGCCCACCCATACCCATGAAATTCAAAAAAGATGAATTGTGTCAGTCACTGGCTCCAACAATGATGGAAACATGTCTGAAGGCCCAGAGACAGAGTTCTTAAATGATGATGGGCACCATGATATGCCTGTAACCTGCTGATGCTGAATCACTATATGCTCATCATCTCCTGCATTCACACTGTCTTTCTCTTGTTCCCTTTCTTGACACAATCAAGACAGCCTCCAGGACAGCATGCATGTGGACATGACTGTTGATGAGCTGCATTATAACTGTGAGAATGGCTTCAATGGAATTGATAGCATGGCTAGCCACCCAGACACTTTAATGGACTTGGACACTGTAATAGATCCACCAAACACAGGTGCTATCTCTACTGCCTCCACTGAAGCTCAGGATCCTCAAGATGGCTCAATCCAGCCAGTTTCAAGAACAACATCAGCACCAATCAAGGACAGTGAAATTCAAAATGAATACCCACCAGCTTCACTCAGTAAAATTCAAAAAGAGAGTCCACCAACCCTACCCTGTGAAATTCAACAAGGAATTGATAGCATGGCCAACTATCCAGATACTTCAATGGACTTGAACACTGTAATAGATTCATCAAATCCAGATGCTGTTCTCACTGCCTCTACTGAAGCCCAGGATTCTCAAGATGGCCTGATCCAGATCAGAGATGACTGTAAATGTGACTCCACACCTGTGCATATTGTGGTTGAGCAGCCAGTTTCAAGAACAACATCAGCACCAATCAAGAACAGTGAAATTCAAAATGAATACCTGCCAGCTTTACCTAGTGAAATTCAAAAAGAGGGCCCATCAACCCTATTCTGTAAAATTTAACAAGAGCACCACTTTCTGGATGTTGAGATGATTAATAGTGATGACACTTTACTCTTGAACATGGGTTATGAGTTTCTTAACAAGATGACACAACTGGAATCTGAGCCACAAACCAGTGATGAGGGTAATACTAAGCAAGTTGACCTGGTGGAACTCATCAAGCCTGGCAGATTTCAATATGAGCAGATGAACAGTCAAACATGATAGAATTTCACCAGTTTCTTCATGCTCCTGCAGAATGAAAATAATGGTACAGACTTAATCAGAAAGATTCTTATCTGTGGCATGCTGTAAGACACTCCATCTCACCAGCTTTACTGTACATTCTGAATGCTTCTCAAGAATCAAGAGTTAGAGCAAGATGAATTCATTGCTGATGAGATGGAAATTGGTAAAATCATGAAGATGATATTATACTTTGTTCTGAGTATCTGAATCATCTATAACTGCCTGCATATCAAACAGTGCTGTAAGAATTCTGCAATGACCAACAAGCATCTCTCTGTAGTCATGAATACAGAAGAAGAACATAAGAGTTCAAAGCAGTATTATCTAAGATGTCCCTCTCAGGATATGTTCCCCATTCTGTATGGCTGTATTCTGGATGGGGTGACTGCACACTGTCTGAGTCAACTGCTGTAAGATACAATGCTGGTGGTAGTGCTCAAAAGTCTTCTTCTTCTCTGGATGAGAGAGTGGGCCAACTCTATCTCCTGTAATTCAGAGAACTGTCTGAAACTGAATCTCTTCATTGGCCATGAAGACTTAACTCTCACAAAGATTAGCAACTTGGGCCATGTGTTCATACAGACTGCACAGCATGTGATGCTGAGATAACATGATCTGAATCTCCAGCAGGATTATTGGCACATGTTCCTGACCATACTGGACTTGCTCTCCAGCTGTATGATGATACTCCTCTGTAACATTCAGAAACAAGATGTCCAGCAATTGTGATGGCAAGCTGTAATCTGAGATGAATGCCATCAGGAGAAGGGCTTTGACAGCAAGACCATCAGACAGTTTTGAGAGATCAATGCAGCCACAGGGAAGCAAGACTATACCCCAGCCACCTGGCTGCTCTCCAGAACATTGTACAATAAAGAACTGACAGACATGCTCTTCTGAATGATGATACTGGCCTCTGATGAATGGGATAATGATGCCAGACTGCAATTTGCCAAACCTGATCAATGGAAGACCCTCTCAGCCAGAGTACAGCTACTGATCAGCAAGAAGCAGCTGTCCAGAACAGAACAGATTAAGTTCTGGTCAGCAGTACACCAGTTTAATCAGATGCTTGAGTATCTGATGATCTGCTGCACTACTGAGACAAGTTGGTTTGACAAACCCATTATAGAGCTGCCCCACAACCATCATCATGATGTTCTCTGCAGCCTAGAGCCCAAGATCAGAGATGAGCTCCAGCAGTGTGAGCAGCATGAAATTCAAAAACTAAAAGACAGCTACATGAGAAGCCTGCAGGAATAGAAGAAGCACAGTCAAGAATCTAAATCTGAGCTTTCCAGCCAGACCTTTTTCAAGAAGTTATGCATAAACTGAATCATTGCCATCTTTCCAGCCCTTCTGGACCTCATGAAGATCAAGTAATGTGAGCTCAAGCTTACTAATGAGAAGATGATGAAGAATGGATAGCATGCTGGTGAGAACAAGAAGGCACTGTACATTCATGCAATCAATACCCTGACCAATTCCAGCTCCAAGTGTTGTGTGATTCAACACATTCTGCAGGGCATGGGGAGAGACTATTATGGGTGCTCAGAGAAGATTGTTATTCTGACAGAATTCCCCTGTATAATTCACATGCTTGAGGTGATAGATTACTGTGTCCCCTTTTCTTGTGTTTTCTTTCCTGGCTAACTTTTCACACAGTAGCTGCAGAAGCAAGACTACTGTGTTGCAGCAGTCTATAACAGTATGAGTGTTGAGAACTGAGACATGTGCATCAATGTCTTCAATCAGAACCTGCCACTGCCTGAAGATGAGACTGATGCCAGTCCAGATGTCCTGATTAGTATTCTGGAGATTCTAGATGTAGACTATACCTGTATTTGTGCCTTCTGACTTATCCTGCTGAGCCTGAGCTGGTTGGAGAGGGATGAGACCCAGGGCAAGACATGCATCCACTGCTATAGGCAGATGAACAAGACCATGTACATCTACTGCCTGATGTGCAGAGATGTCCAGGTCAAAAGCAACATTCTTGACCAGCAGGTAATGTAAAAGAGTTTCAATAAACTGGTGATGTTGCTGCAGAGAGAGGCTGGCATAGTTCAAGATGTGATTGATCTGAATACAGTATGAGGCCTGGCATGGCTGTGTGGCTGTGAAATTTAAAAAGAAACACCCAAGAACCATGCAGTGCTTCTGTCAAGATGCCTGGATATCATTAGAAATATATGAAACAATCATGACTGTTTGTTCTAGATAATTTGTTCTGCAGAGTTGAATAGATCAGTAGTTAGATCCAATTAAAGCAATTTCAGCTGAAAGCCATTCATTATATCTCCCACCATAGTTGTGTTGATGCTGAATACTTGGTGGTTGAATGCACCAATGAGCCTTCAGCCTGGTGATAGTGTAACTGGCTAATATTAGCACCCTACCAAATTTGTGCCAGCATATCCTCTGATGCTATCAACTGTTGATATGGTGCCTGTGGCCTTTCATCCAAGAAGGAGGATCCCCTCACCCAGAGATGTATATAATGTATCATGACATGCTGATGCTGAGTCTCTTTTTCCAGCCTGGAGCTTGAGATGCTACTGAAGCTCCACAGTCTTTAAGCATGGTGCAGCAGAATATCTGAACATGTTTGATTTGGGTTACTTATGGTGATACTGGCTCTCCCTGATCAATTCTAACTGCCAACATTGGCCACCAACAATGGCTAATGCCAATATCAACTGGAACACAGTTTCTTCAAAGAATGAGGCTGCAGACTATTGGCTGTAAGTGTTGAGCACCAATTTCTACCATCAATTTTCATTGTTGTCAATTTTAACTGCTGGTTTTCAATAAGCTGAACCTGTTGTGGATGCACAAGATATGTTTTAACCATTGAGTTTGGCTGTCAAGTTTTACTGTTGTCAGTCATGGCTGCTGATTTTGACTGTTGTCAATTGTGGCTGCTGTCAATTTTGACTGTCAATTTTTACTGTTGTCAATTTTTACTGTCAATTTTTACTGTTGTCAATTTTGACTGTCAATTTTTACTGTCAATTTTGGTGTTGTCAATTTTGACTGCCATGACCAATTTTGGCTGGCGTCAATTTTTACTGTCAATTTTTACTGTTGTCAATTTTTACTGTCAATTTTTACCATTGTCAATTTTGACCGTCAATTTTTACTGTCAATTTTTACTGTCATCAATTTTGACTGTCAATTTTTACTGTCAATTTTTACTGTCAATTTTTACTGTTGTCAATTTTGACTGTCAATTTTTACTGTCAATTTTGGCGTCGTCAATTTTGACCACTGTGACCAATTTTGGCTGGTGTCAATTTTGGTGTTGTCAATTTTGACATTGTCAATTTTGACTGTCAATTTTTACTGTCAATTTTGGTGTTGTCAATTTTGACTGCCATGACCAATTTTGGCTGGTGTCAATTTTGGTGTTGTCAATTTTGACTGTCAATTTTGGTGTTGTCAATTTTGGCGTTGTCAATTTTGACCATTGTCAATTTTTACTGTCAATTTTTACCATCATCAATTTTGACCATCAATTTTTACTGTTAATTTTGACTGCTGGTTTTCATCTGCAAACATTGACTGCAAGATGGATTCTCTGAATTGGGTGACAGAAGTCTGAGTTTTATCATTTGCATGTCTTCTCTTCTATAAATCTGTTCTCTTCAGCTTTTCTTGTATTATCTTGAATCTGCTACAGTGTCTTCTTTTACTCTCATTCTGATGTTTTCAGCATGATATTTCCTGCTACTGTAATTTGCTAATGGATGCATATAATTCAAGCCAGAATTGCCAAATTTTATGCAGCATGTCCAGCAGTGGCTTCACAGGCAAAGTATCTGATCAGCTTGGAACAACTATTTTTCTAAGTCAGCTCAATAGGCTGCTTCTCTTCTGCTGTGCTGCATATGAAACCTTTCCCCAACCATCTCATTGGGTTCATAATACTTGTTCAACCATGCTAGGGTGCCTGGAAGCTATTCTCATTCTTGTTGTCTTAGCTGCCCTCATGCAATTGATTTCAGGTGCCAGTCACCTAGGTGAATCTGACAGTAGTCATCTGGTACTGGATTGCCTCTCCTGTAGTCAAATATTAGTTTACAAGACCAGACTGCCCCATACAGAAGGCCACTGCATACCTCATAAGACTAATCTTCACATTTTGCATCTGATCCTTAAGGTCCATCTGTGTATGGTTCTACAGCCTGAACTCAGGCATATTCTTGTCCAGCTCTTTGATCAAAGTCCAGTTATTGCTGTGCCTCTCCCACAGCTGCACCAGTCTTGTGGTCTCTTTGACAGACCATCTTGTTTAAATGCATGACCATCTGCAATGCCTGCTTCTGTAATTTGCTCTTCTTTCTACCATCTTCTTCACACATCTGATCTCTTTCTGCTGTCTACAAAGCAAGTGTTCTCTTGAACCCCTCTGTACTGAGTTATTAATGTGATTCCATTCATCCAGATCCACATCCAGATCTGAAGTTAATATCAAGTATGCTGCCAATGAACCAATTGTGCTTGATTGTTGATGATGGTTCCTGGAATAGCTGGTGTCAGCATCAGAAGAGTTGTCAGTCAAGCAGGAGGACTGTTTCCATGTCTCTTGCTCTCTCTCTGGTGTCTGGATTAATGTTGATACTTGAGAGCTGCTGAGCAAGAGTCTTGATTGTTTCTGAAAGCAGCTGTCCTCCAAGGCTGAACTCTGGCTCAATCTAGATGCTTTTCCTTTTCTATTCTCTGGACAGATCACCTCTGAGTGCCTGTTGCTTGCCTGATATGAAATGAAATTCTTAGAAGCCAAAACCTCTTCTGGTATTACTGATTGAGAGCTAGATAGCCATTGGTTCTGGCTTTTCAGATTGGGCTTGCTGTTGTATGATGTACATGCAGGAACACCCATGGGACTTGAAAATGACATACTCTCATTGGAAGGAGTGGTTTGGGCAAGACCTTTATCTAGAACCACCTGTTAATGAATGGTATACACAGGACCATAAGATTCAGGGCTGCCACTCACCACCTAGAGGCATGTTGCTTGACAGGGAACTGTTCAACAGTAGATATTGACTGCTTCCTGCTATTACTGATGGCAGGGACTGGAGCTGATTTGATGTTCTTCTTGCTTTTCTTCTTTGAAGTACAGTGAAAGTACTGAGGAGGTGTAGCTCTGTCTCTGTACTGAAAGATTGCAGCCAGGTGCTGGAATGTCTCTGAGCTATCATGATTGATGATAATCTGTTCAACAACTGGAAGAACAGGAAAGAGAAGAGAAGGGACCTGGATGAAGCCTCAGACTACTAAAGAGATGATCTGAGGTGGTTGTGATAAAGCAATGAAGAAAACAGAGCTTTATTTTGTAGGCTCAAAGTTGACAGAAGAAAGAGGCTGACATTTTTAATAAATTTATAGGCTTGGGATGATCAGGAGAGTGGCATTTCTGATCTATCACAAATGTTCATTTCATCCAGTAAGCCAAGCCAAAATCTCACCATCTCAAGACTCTGGCTCAGATACTTCAGGTTCAATGTTATTCCAGTGCATTCTCTGCAATTTCTCCACACAGCAAGCACATTAGTCAAAACCACTCCAGTCAGCATGGGCTGTGGGTGGCCACACAAGTATATAACTGAGAGAAATGTAGTTCAGGCATGAGTGCAAGCATATTGAAGGTGACAACAGCAGCAGCAAGCAGTCACATCAGCAAGCACATCAATATTGTTTCAGAATATCTTCTTGACCTGCAATTCTCAAAGTGGGGCTGGTCTTTTCCAGTCTGTTGAGAATTTGTCCTATGTGTTTGTGGACCTACAGGAAGCTCTTGATGTAATGTCTGTTGAGTGTAGAAGCTCTGAGCCACCAGACATGATTGAAGAAGGATTGCTTGAGTCTGAGTCTGATAAAATAGAGCACAAGAGTCCTCCATCACCAGCAGAATCCAGCAGCAGTGAGAATAATTAGTTGTCTGTAATAAAATAAGATAATCAAGCATTTTAAATCTCTAACTACATTCTAGATTCAGTGCCACTACTAATGCCTTCAGGCCTGTCCAGCCCCAGTACATCAGAGCCAAGATTGGACCATGGATCCTTCCTGCCCACAAATACAGTGGAATCAACAGAAGAAGACAACACACTTGTACAGAAGCTGGTGACACAGCTGCAGATCTATCATAAGTGCTCTACTGAGGCTCATGCTGCATTGGAGCTGCTCTTCATACTGACAGTGTCTCTCTTACAGATGGCAAGCTGGAAATGTCCAGATATCTTAGAGCACGCCAGCATGTCTTCCTATCCCATACAGTGGGACACCATCCTGCCAGTTCATCAGTACTAAAGGCTATACAGTGGGATGTGCATATTAGTGAAGTCTTTAGCCCATGAGAAAGTACCTCCACACCCTGCAATCATTGATCTGGAAGGTGATATCATTCTGATGCCAGCATTCCTGCATGCCATGATTGACATTAATAGTGCTGGTGATCTGGCCTCAAGTCTTGCAGTGGCCTGTGAGGAGTTTCAATAAAAAGCCAACCAGTTCCTGACAAGCAATCTGAAGAGTTCTCTTCATCTGGATCTCATTTCAGTTCAGTGAAGAGATGAGCAGACTGAAAGAGTCTGCCAGTTCCAGAGACCAGTCCACTGAATCCCTTATCTTTCATTTAGATGACTGGTTGGATTTCCTGAGATTGAGATCTACATTCTCTTCCCCTGGCTTTTCAGCTCCCAGCACCAGCATCACATCATTACAGAGCAGGAGTATGCTCTCTGGACAGACAAGATCTTCCTTCTGGCTCTCCATTATGTTTACTCTGCATCTACACTTCTCCACCTGCCATCCAGTACCACACATGTCCAGCTCAGTTTCACTGCAGCTCAGGCAGAAGGCTGCAATCAGACTTTTTATAAGTAGTCATGGGTGCAGGAGTTCCACTTTTCACTACAGTCAGCAGGACTTCACCATCTCTGAAAGTGTGTGCAGACAACCATTCAAGATTCAGAGCTTCAGCACTTTCAGGAACTCATGCTTCTTCTGACTGCTAAGAATCTGAAGCTCTCAATCCAGCATGCCATCTGGTCTGGCATGCATGATGCCTTCTTTTGCATGTGGAATCAGGCTGTGGACAGGTGCTATCTGACCACCAGCTTCTATAATATTGGCAAGGAGGTGGTCTTGCTCTGGAGCTTTCTGTTGCACCAGAAGCCAATGCATGCATTCTGCATGTTCATCTGGTAATGTTGCTGCCTGAATTGTTTCTGTGAATGACTGAGAGATTTGCCAGCTGCACAAAGAATCTCTTCTCTCACTTTATCTGAGCCTGATAGCTCACCAGATAATTCAATAGAGATGCAGATCAACAATGATCATTCAGCAGCAGCTGTCCAGCTCTGACAGTCCTGCCAACTTTGTAGCCATGTCCAGCAAAGGATGATGTCTGAGGCCTCAGACTCCAGCTATATCCAACACCAGTCAGTAGAGCCAGCATGCAGGAGTAAGAATGAAGATACATATCAGCCAGAGCTCAATAAGAGCAGTGAAGATGAAGATGAAGAGAGTACCAGTAACCTGAATGAACATTCAGCAGATGGTGCACTGGTTGCTGATGCCCAGGCTCCTGATTCAGAACATGAATGTCCACAGGAAGGGTTCTGGTGCAAGCAGTTCTATCTGCTGTCATTCCTGTATGATCTGGAGTCCATGATGCTAGAGCTGCACTGGTGCTCTCCACTTTGCTACTGGGGTCTGCTCTACTGCCAGTTCTATAACACCATCAAGAAGATCTTTGTGGCTGGCCAGCATTTTCCATTTGCAAATAAGAATCTGGACATGTTGACTCTGGATCCTGGGCTGGTATAAATCTGGCAGCATATTGGAAAGATTATCAGCCATTTCCCTCTGGCCTTGCTGCACGCATACATCTACATCAAGTGATGGTGCCATGTTGCTATTTCTGACTGCTGCCAGTGGTCCTATAAAACTTGAGAGGAGTACTGGATCACTGCTGCTGTCCTGCAGGCCATGGACTGAATCCTCCAGAAAAGTGATCTAGCCAATCATTCCACAGTTGTGCCCTAATATCCAGTGCCCTTCCTTAACTATTGCACTGATCAGCTTCTGGAGTGGCTGTGGTGGAATATTAACAAGCTGTACACTGGATTTGAGATGATCTACAGTCTGCAGCTGTGCACTGTGGTGCACTGGAAACATACTTGAGTAATAATGATGTTTCTTTAATATCTTCTGTGTGTGTATGGAGATCAGGACAACCACCTCAGCTGCAGCAATGGTCTGTGGCTCAATCACCAGGTGCAACTGCCTCCAGAGGGTTCTGACACAGAGCAGATTCAGAAGAGTCTTGAGATGGCATCCATACTGGAGCTATATGGCTATGCCTGGTTTCTTGACAAGCTTGACTGAATGATCATGATATTCAAGCCATTACATTAGGTGCACATAGTCTTCAACACTCCAACCCTACAGATGATCTACCACCAGCAGTACCAGTAACTGATTAAGTTCAAGTCTGACTTTGTGCTCTTTCATGATGTATTCAGCTGCATGTTGGATGTTCATCTAGACCCTGCCCACTCTGCACTGCTGCTGCAGCTGCTGGTGACTTTCTGTCTGAGAGCCTTCTGGAAGAATGTCTTCAGAAGTCTGGCTGACTGTGTCACCCAACAGCCACTCCATCCCACTAGACTTGAGGATGTGTGCAATGGTGAAATTCCACTCACCTGTGCTGGTATCTCACAAATCTTTTAACATTCCCACTTTTGGAAAGACATCCAGTTCATCACAGGCTCCAGAATGAAAGTCAGGAATATTGAGATGCTCTTTACATGGCTCTGGGGCTGGAATGGTGATGGGAATGGCAACTGGCCACATAAATACTGGAAGTCAAAGCAGTACCAGGTCCTCTTTCACCAGTCTTTTAATGTTATTGTCAGTGTGTATGGGACTCAGCAGGCCTGTGAGTGGTGGACAATTGTGAAGCAGATCTTCATCTGCAGCCACTGGATCTTGTCTTATTCAAGCACAGCAGTCTTCTGGACACATAGAAAGGAAGAGAAACTGTGAAGCTGGGCTAGCACCCATCCAGGACTGGTCAACTACCTTCAGCAGTACCAGCCAGAACTCACCATTATTGAGCTGGACATGATTAATGAGCTGCCCCTGGCAGATTGGAAGGCTGGTGGTTAATCTTTGTCTCTGGATGTGGCTCTTCTCTCAGTCTCCAGTAATCTTGATGCCTGGCTTGCCATTGAACAGGGTCAATATCCTGTTCCTGCAGCAATGTCTTCCAACCCAGAAGTCTTTTTGCTGGCTGCTGGTGTGTGTTCCAGTGAGCTGAGCTGCCATCTTCAGAATACTGTGGCTGAACATCATGTTCTATGCTCATTCATACAGAAAGAGGGTGAATCTGCAAGCCAGCTGCATACCAACTGCAAGTGGCTTACATTCCAGCTTGTGTTGCACATCCAGGCTCTTGTTGAGGCAGAGAGGCAGCAGGTCCAGAGCATGAATCTTTCAAGAGTAACTCAATCTTGACAGTCTTGCTCTCAGCCCCAGCCCAACAGCAATCTGACACTGCTTGGGCCCAGAGTGACCAGAATGGATCTTGAAGAGGATTCTGACCCAGAAAGTCTGATGAGAAAGCAGGAAAAACATGCACAGTATCAGAGATGTATGCAGCAGCAGTTGAAAGTTGCACAGATAGAGGCCTTCTATTATAATCAGTGCAGAACTGCTATGAAGGCATATCAGTGCAAAGCTGCAGGGAGAGACCAAACAGTGTGAGTGCTCAATCAGTCTGAGTTTGAGAAAGCATGGATATGAAGTTAAAAGGCCATTGAGTGTTTAGCTCAAGTGTCTCAGCAGGTCACTTATCATGGAAAAGGAAAAGTATAGTTGTGACAGCACTGGCTTTTTAAGTCAGTTTTGACTATCAATTTTAGTGACAATTTTCTCTGTCAATTTTCATCATTAATTTTAGTTGTTAATTTTTGACTGTCAAATTTTACTGTTATCAATTTTGACTGTCAATTTTTACCATTGTCAATTTTTACTGTTAATTTTAGCTGTTGTCAATTTTTACTGTCAATTTTCACTGTCAATTTTTGCCATCAATTTTGACTGTTGTCAATTTTTACCATCAATTTTGGCCATCATCAATTTTGACTGACAAATTTAGCATCATCAATTTTGGTGTCATCAATGTTTACCATCAATTTTGACCATTGTCAATTTTGGTCCTCAATTTTGGTGTTGTCAATTTTGACCATCAATTTTTACTGTCAATTTTGGCTGTCAATTTTGGTGGTGTCAATTTTTACTGTCAATTTTGACTGTCAATTTTTACTGTCAATTTTGGTGTCATTAATTTTGACTGTCAATTTTTACTGTCAATTTTGACTGTCAATTTTTACTGTCAATTTTTACTGTCAATTTTGGTGTCATTAATTTTGACTGTCAATTTTGACTGTCAATTTTAGTGTTGTCAATTTTGACTGTCAATTTTTACTGTCAATTTTGGTGTCATTAATTTTGACTGTCAATTTTGGCTGTCAATTTTAGTGTTGTCAATTTTGACTGTCAATTTTGGTGTCATCAATTTTGACTGTCAATTTTGGCTGTCAATTTTGGCATTGTCAACTTTGACCATTGTCAATTTTTACTGTCAATTTTGGTGTCATCAATTTTGACTGTCATCAATTTTGGTGTCATCAATTTTGACTGTCAATTTTGGCTGTCAATTTTTACTGTCAATTTTGACCATCAATTTTTGTCAATTTTTACTGTCAATTTTGACCATTAATTTTTGTCATCAATTTTCACCATTAATTTTTGTTATCAATTTTGGTCATCAATTTTAATCATCAATTTTTGTCAATTTTTGCCATTAATTTTCACCATTAATTTTTGCTGTTAATTTTGATCATTAATTTTGATTATTAATTTTGATTGTTACTTTTCACTGTAAATTTTGGTCATCAAGTTTCTCTGTAAATCTTTATTATTAATTTTCACTTGTGAAAAATATTACTGTAAACTGTTTCAAGTTATATTCTAAAATAAGTCAAAATTGATAAAAAATATTAATTAAAGTTGAAATAACCAAACTAATTAATTAATAAAAAAATATCTTACATCATTTCACAAATACTACAAGCTCAGATGTAAGTAAATGAAAAGAATTTTATTATAATAATAAAAGCTGTTGAATTTTATTAATTTATCAAAAAGAAAAATATTTAAATATTTCTTATTTTTCTGTATTAGATTAACTAAATGATTAATGAAAAGATTCAGATATCTAAGAAAAAGAATAACTATCTACTTGAATAATAATTTTCTAAAAAATTTAAAGACTTTAAGCAGATATTTTTTTAATTACAAATTAAATAAGATATTATTATATTAATAATTTAGATATAGTCAGATAACTCAAGAAAACTATATGTCAGTTAATAGTAATAGCATATAATTAACAATTGTTATTAGTATTTAAACTATAGTTATCTGTAAACTTAATTAAGTTCATCTGCTTATTTTATAATTTAATTGATTTTTATTCAAATTGAATAAAATAACACTTATTTGAAAGCTATTATTTTATTAAAGAGACTTTTGAATTTTTAAGTAATTTGCTTTACTAGTTATTAAGATATAAATAGAAACAAATAATACTAGCTTTACATCTGTCAGAAACACTTTTTATACTATTACTTAGTAATTACAAGATTTTTATTTTGAGAGATAAACTTAATAATACTTTTTAAATAAATTTTCTAATTTTCTTTATTATATTTCTTTCAGTTATTATATTATTATATTATTTTTATCTGAAAATTCTTTTATCAAACATTTTCTTATTTTAAGTTTTCTTGCTAAGATTCTTGCTTACATATATTTTATTAAGATATGTTAAGTAAGCTAGAGCTTTTATCTTATCTTATTTATTCTTATCTTATCTCTCTATCTCTTCCTATCTGATTTTTGCTTCTTAAACTTTGTGCTAATACTAAATCAGCTTTATTAACTTAATACTATTAGTATAGCTGAGCTAAATTAATGTTTGCAAATTCTGACTAAGCTTTAGTAAGTAGTATATTTAATACTATTTGATAGCTGAAAAATCAGAATGAATTAGTGAAACAAAAGTTTTAAATACTTATAGTAACTATTTTGAATTAGAAACAAGCTATATTAACTATATTATAAATTAAAGTAATTTTTATTATCTTTTCTATATTTAAGAAAAAAGTCAAGCTAGATTTATAGTGTCTTGACAGATTTGCTATCATTTCTATCTGATAAAAGATATACTAGCTTTCTGGTGCTGCACTGCTACTATATCTAAAAAAATCAGTTGTGTTTCTTACTTTTCTGCTCAAAATATATATTATTTTTATAATATTAACTTTAGCATCTTGAATATGAGTCTTTACTACTAAATTTAAGGATATTCTCAGCTGGTTTTTGAAAGATTTTCTGCAAAAGCTCTCTAATTTGATAGTTT